AGGACCACAACGTGGCACATGGCGGATAGAGTTTTATCATTTCTCAGTTGCGTCTCTGTCTTCGGGCAGAGTGCAACTCAGTTGCGGTTCCGTCGGAGGACAGAGGTGCAACTGAGGGAAATCAGACTGTGAGGTGTCCAGCCCTGGGGAACAGGCTGTGTCCTCTCATTGCACCAGAGAGAAGGTCAGTGCAATCGAACCGTTGCGTAAGCTCGGGGAATAACTTGGCGCTCGGGTTCCCCCTATTAAACCCGACCTTATATCACATCCTGTCTCAGTGGAGAGATCAGAATAAATATTCATATAGGTAAAATTGTAAAAATAAATGTTTATAATAAATGGTTATTTCATTGGAAATGCGAAATATTTTAGATGCTTGTAAAATGGTGTGTGTCCGGTAAACAGACATAGTTGTAACGTTATTGAATATATTCTTTGTAATATGGATTTAATTTTTCACACTATAATAATTTCATTAGCCACGGAAATATTTTGGGTTCAAAGTGGGCCATGAGCTAAAAAAAGTTGGGTATGGCTGGCCTAGGAAATAAAGAAGGAATAAATATGAAGTGAGAGAAGACGAAATGCATAGTTGTAAACAACAGAGACAATCTAAAATGTGAGTTTGATAAGGAGGTGTAAAAATCAAGCAAGTGTGTAAATTTAACTATTCATGCTGTAACAAAAGACGGAAAGTGTAACACACAAAGGATAAGGAATATAGGAACAAATATAAATATAGGAATAAAACGACTTTTTCGTATACTAAGAATCATAAGAAAATGGCCTTCGAAAAGAATAAATAATGTTAGTCATGGTTTGTTTTTCTCTAAATAATCTTTTTGGAATTCTTGCTTTAGAAAAACAAAAGCAAAACAAACGGCATATAAGCTAGGTTAGATCAAGTAAGAAAATAAATCTTAACAATGGGGTCAGAAAACGGATCTGATATAAGTAAAGAGGAACAAAACACCTCAGCGTGTAAACTGTAAAAATAACTGAAACATTTTAAAAATAAATATTGATAATAAATGGTTGTTTCATTAGAGATACAATATATTTCAGATGCTTGTGAAATTGTGTGTCCAATAAGTAGACATAGGTATATATCCGATAAAGATACAACTATGTGAAATGGAAATAACTTTTATATCTATCTATAAAAGGCAGGATGTGTGTATGTGTGTATGTGTGTGTGTAACGAATGCACGGTCGCAATTTTTGACGGATTTGCACCAAAATTTACATGCACATGCTCCAAGTTAGCGGGAAGGTCAAGACCGATTTTGCATTTCTGTTGAGTTGTTGGGAGTGTTCCCGCGTGTGTGTATTCGAATAAAGACAAACACAGTTGTAGGGATAAATACTGGTATATTTGTAAGAGGTAATTAACAACAGAGTGATTAGTAATAAGGAACGCCGGTTAGTAAGTAACAATAGCAAAAGTCTTCAGTCTAACGGTATGTAATGGTAACCTGATCCTTCACACTACACCACTACTCTCTCTAGCACTGACTTATATCGTAGAGGGAAAAGTCCATTATCAGTCAGAAGGTGGGTGGGCCCCAACAAATTCCAAACTCTCATCGATGGTGGAAATAATCGACTTTTTCATGCATCTACGTCAGTTTTCATGTAGTTTGCGGCCATTTTCTACTGGCCAGAATGAGGCAGGAAGATTCTACTGGCCAGCGTGAGAGCCAACAGCTGACTGACACGAATGTTAACTAGCATGCTAGCATGCAAAAAAAATCGATAGCTGCATTTGTCACAAGTGGAAAAAAATTAAATCTGCATGGCACTTTACTCCATTTGGCTCATTCGCTTGCTTAAACTCAATGTTGATTCTGATTCCGCAGAACTGAGTTGGGTTTGAAAAAGTATTTGTTAACATTCTTTTTTCATTCGGTTTTTCCAGTTACGAGTCCTTTTTTAAAGCTGATCGTTTTGTGTTCATTTTGTTTACTTCTTTTTTCGTAACAGATTTAATGTTTAGTATAGAGCTTAGAAAAAATTCGCAGTGTGAGATAGGCAAGAAGTAAGGCATGTAGCAACATCAGCACGGCAAATAAATTTATGGGTAAATAGTGAATTCTCCCAAAAAAATGAAACACGATGAAAGTATAAAAATACATTTTTTATAGTAAAAATACCAGCAATACATTTTATAGAGTTACCAACAATACCTATTTATAATAAACACACATACAAAAAAGTACAACAAATTTAGTGCTGATGTTAATAAAACAGCGCTCGATTTTATATATAATTTAATTTTGTTTCAACACCATAAATGTGTCTCCGAAGGCGACGTTAAACCCAAGAAGACACATTTATGATGTTGAATCATAATTGCCATTATGTGGCGATATTTAACGTTTTAATATCCTAAAATAAATAATATTTAGCTCTACTCTGTATTGAGCCGTCTTTTAAATTAAATTTAAATTTTAGTTAAATGTTATATATATATATATCTATATATCGGTTATGACAGCAAAATTGTTTGTCAGATTAAACTTTAAACCGGTGTATCTTAGAAATGATTAAAGATAACTTACTGGAATTCTCCGACATTTTTATAACACTATTAAACTTTGAGTAATAAGAGTAAGCTTCATTATTATTTAATCATAGCTAAGGATCGGAAGCTCATGAAGCACTGATATAAAGTTCATATATATATATATATATATATATATATATATATATATATATATCATTCTCGGATCATTTTACAACTCATTGAAGATGATCTTCGCCCACTTTACCTTTCTAACCTTCTGTCCTGGAGTAACACGGTGCCTCACAAGTTTCACATACGATTACATTTTCAAGTCTTTTTTCACTGATCTTTAGACTGTCATAACTGAAACTTCTCTCTCACGTGCCAAATCTTTTGTGGATTGAGTTGGATCTTTTCTACTTGATATCTTTATCTCTACGTAGAAATGATGTTCCCTCTTCTTGTGATCTCCTGATCCAATTTGCCTCTCTACTGTTTCCCCTTTTTTAAACTTATTCACAATTTTCTTGATGGTTCTTGAATGGACCGTGAAGATGGAAACCGGTATATGAATGATGGTATCATTACTCAAGGCTGAATGATCTTTTTCCTCTTACCATTGCTCAGTTGGAAAGGCAATGGAGCCTACACAAAGCGATTTTAACCTTTTGTTTTTCTAGCTGAATAACTTAAAGGGTTTTTCAGTGATTCTTACAACAAATGGTATCAAAATGGCTAAACGTCTTATCTGTAAACCTGGAAAAAAAACTCAATTAGTTTAGTGTTTTTTTTGTATTTTTTTGTTTTTTTTTAAACATTAAACATTTTGTGGGATGGACAGTTATGCTGTTACACGATTTGGACTATTTTGCTGTTACACCCAGTATATATATATATATATATATATATATATATATATATATATATATATATATATATAATGTCCTCCGATTACTTTTACACACGCATGCAGCCGTCGGATTATTGACTGGCAGACCTTTTCAAATGCTTTCACACGGTATCGAATGGTTTCGCAGAACCCATGACACGTTGATGAAGGTCTCTGCGTTATTTATGTCTGCTTCATAAACCAGTTGTTTTAGGTAGCCCCACAAATAAAAATCCAAAGGATTGAGGTCGGTGGGGTGCAGGCAATGGAACCGGTCCTACATCCCCATCTTTCATCAGCTAGTGCATCGCGGACAATGAGATTATAATGTGCATGAACCAAATGTGTCTTCGTATTAGCAGTGGGGCATCATCTATCAGGTTTGGAATTGTGTTCGAAATAAAGTCTCTGCAGACATCTGTAAGACGTGCTGAAAGAAAATATATACCTTCAGACAGTCACCTACAATTTCAGCTCACACATTAATCGTAAACTTATGCTGGTGTCTCGCCTGTATTGTAGCATGGGGATTCCGATCCACCCACAAATGTTGGTTTTATAAATTTGTTATTTCATCTCTTCCTGCATTGCTATATTTATAGAAAAAGAGTGCCGGGGATAGAGAGTTTATATAGACAGTTTGTACCTAATAGTTTTACGCTCCAATGTGATCTTCAAACAAAATTGTGGTGATCTGTTAAATCAAAGCCATGTTATCAAAAGCTTCTAAACATACACGCACGCACACATACACACACACACACACACACATGATATTCATATATATAGATAGATATATGTATTATATAAAAATGAAACTCAATAATACCACATTTTGATGGCCATTTCGCCCCTGGGATAATCTCCCTCGGGTTGTCATTGCTAAAACGTTTGTTAAAAAAAATGAATTTTTAACGTTTTTTATTTTTATTCTTTTTTTTTAAATTTGAAAAATAAAAATTAAAAAGGAATTAAAGAAAGAAAGGAGAAATTATTAGAATGTACTTGGATTACTTACCCAAGGATTTTTACCTATATACATATATATATATAAAACGAGATTCTGACGAAAACAAAAATTATTAGATTACCATCATCTGTATACTGTGCCCTTTTAGGACATGGGCGATTATGGCTCTCCACAACTTCCTACTTTTGTAACTCTTAGTAAGATTAACATTAATAAATAATTGTTTTACTAATCATCCAAGTTTAGCCTCTTACTCAGCGTAGAAAGGTACGTTAACTAGTAGTTATATTGCAAGGATTGTTCATAAAAATTTTTTTAAAAAAATCGCGATTTCCCCAAAATGTGAGACATTTTTTCTCTAAATACCCGACGCCAAAATGTAGGCGGCAAACTCTGGGTTCCGACATGTCCAATTCCGAATAAATATTTTGTCATATTTGTTTACTAAATCACAACCTTGCTTTCACCCCTTACACAAAAAAGCAATAGAAATAATATCTATATATACTTTTAATATTTTCTGTGTAACTATAGAATTATTCCCGGAAATGAAATTTTTAGCTATATCATTCGTTCATTCCTGCCTATGATACCACGCATTACATAAATATGGGTTATTCTTTCTTTTATTTCAGCTGGTATATTTGTATTGTTGGCAAGAGATGTTTGCACATCGTCCACTACTGATCTGCTTACCTCTAGTGAAACATTGCCCCAATCATCATCCGTATCTACCAGTGCTACAAATACAGGAGGCGGAGGTACTTCACAATCGACAGCGACAAGTGGCACGAGTAGCAGCACTCAGCCATCTTCGAGCAGGGTATCACAGTCTAGTATTACTTCCAGCCAAACCAAGGCTTCGACAGTTGCTTCTAGTGCGTCTGCTGCGCCTGCTTCAACTGCTACGTCTGCTAAAACTGGTTCTACTGCCGTCTCAACTGCCTCTTCTACTGCCGCTTCAACCACACCAGCCGTGAGTTATTAAAACTATTTTTATATTATAAAATGTTAACACTTTTTTTCATCTGAATATTCAATACTAAAAAAAATGACTATATTTAAAGCTATTTTAACTTTCCTAAACATAACATTTAACTTGATTCGCCCGGTCTTCTAGTAAGTGTACATCCTTATCGACTCCATACTATTGTGGCCTCATACCGTTTTAACTTAACCTAAACTCACTAAATGTCAATCTAACCGCCTTTTTAGTGTACTAGTTTCGAAGATAATTATAACAGCGATTTAGATCCTCACTAGGTGTCCCATACTTATAGCCTTGTGCTAAACGGTAGAAACAAGTGCCTTAATGTGATAGATAAGAAGTCGTAAACTGCCTCTAGGTCTAGCGTGTCGTCTCTTGTAAACAAGGACCAAGGTCTATCTTTTTGACTCTAGTATAAACCGGACAAAGCTCTATCTTTTTGACCCTAGTGTAAACCGGACCCAAGCTCTATCTTTTTAACTCTAGTGTAAACCGGACCAAGGTCTATCTTTTTAACTCTAATGTAAACCGGACCAAGGTCTATCTTTTTGATCCTGGTGTAAAACAGACCACGGTCTATCTTTTTAACTCTAATGTAAACCGGACCAAGGTCTATCTTTTTGATCCTGGTGTAAACCAGACCAAGGTCTATCTTTTTTACCCTAGTGTAAACCGGACAAAGGTTTATCTTTTTGACCCTAGTGTAAACCGGACCAAGGTCTATGTTTTTGACTCTAGTGTAAACCAGATTTATGCTAACCTTTTTAGCTCTAGTGTAAATTGAATGCTTACCTTTCTGGCCCCAATGTAAGTCTGACCTATGTCTACCTTTCCGGGCCAGTTCATGTTTGTTTTTTTTTTTTCATTCGAGAGTAAACTGGAACTGTGTCTACCATTTTTCATTCTAGTGTGATCCGGACAAAAATCTACCATTATTTTTACTCTAGTGTAAACCAGATCTATAACCACCTAGGTGTCACGAGTGTAAACAAAACCAATCTCTGCCTAACTATTGTTTTATCATGACTTTTCTCCTGCGAGGTTTATTTTCGACATTAAATAACCCAACATTGCTTGACACTTCATTAAATTAACCAGTCATAACCTAACCACAGTAAAAGAATTGGCATCTCACTGAGCGCTTATAATTTCGTCTTACTGTAAAACAGTACTTGTCAAATTAGTGTCACGAGCCATTGTGGCTGAGTGAACACACGACTGGGTCACTCGGGCATTTTTTTTTTGTTTTTTTTATACCGCTGCCCATGTTGTGTTTCGATTTCCGTTTGCGTCACTGTGAACAAAACAGGGAAAGTTTCGATGTACGTTCAACAAAATAACTGAAAGCGAAATATCACAGAGAGAAAACTCTCGAATACAGCCACCTCGTGATATTGCCTTTGGTGAGAAAGTCAAGAAATCTGTTGGTTCAGATAAACAGCCTTATTTATTCATAAGTTCACTAAGTAGGTAACCGTTAATTTAGAAATCATCGTTGCTACTTCCATTTTTTTTTCTCACGACAGACTAATGGACCAGACCTTCTCTTCGGTCAACGTCTCCCTCCGTTTTTGTCTGTCTCTACATCTCTTCAAACACTGACCCTGTATCCCCTTATTTAGAAGGCGATCTGGCGCTATAAATCTATGACTGGAATTCTTTACCTTCCGATCGTGTATTATTGGATCTTTAAAGTTTTATTTATTTTATTTCGTTTTTCCGACTTATGAACAACAGGTGGTTTTAATGAAACTCTCAGATCTTCATTTTACCGGTGATATCATAAAATACGACATGCCGATTGTTATAAAACTGTTGGTCGTTTCAGACTTAGATAATATTAGTTACAACGTATATGATATAACCAGTCTATATTTTTGAGATGAGGTATTATGCACACTATTTACATTATTCGGACTATTGTCTTCATCTTTATTACCATATATATGACAACGTTTCGGCCCTTCAATATCATTCTATATTTCTGAGATGATGTATTATGTATACTGTTTACATTATTCGGACTATTGTCCTCATCTTTGTCGTCATATTCCAACATTTAGGCCTTTGTACGCTCCGGCCTTCTTCAGGTGGTTGGAATGTCGAACTGAACCCTTTATTTCGCTCACTGGGGTAGACTGTTCTAGTTCCACGTGCCATGTTTAATGGATGTCAGTTATCAGTTATCAAAGAGTGTGAGTTCAATACCCAGTTAAAGCAGTGGAGAACTCGGAGAGGGGAATTAACAGGAGATAACTGATATCAGTAATCCTAGGTTACAACAGGTAGTAAAAGCCAAAGGAATGAGTTCGTATAGGATGAACTGACAGCTAATGTTCGATACTGATTCACTTCTGTTCATGTTCTGATGCCTAAATTAATTTTAGTTATGGATACTTATTTTGAATTCCCGAGATGCAAATTCACTTTCAATACACGAGAACGCAGAGGGTTACAGGGAGTGAAAGTGAAAAAGAAAGAGAAGACCGAGAATTGAGGAAAGGACGAAAAAAGGAAAAATGGTTCAAAAAAGAAAGCAGATGGCGATTGGCATTACATTTAAATTTTTGAAGATTATAGTTATCAGGGAAGCAAGGAATCGGAAGGAATTTCCACAGGTGGGAAGTGTGAGAAAATAAACTGTTAGACTAGAAGTGATGGTTGAATTTAGTTAGTTGAATAGTAAACGGACGGGACCTAGTTGCCAATCCAGCAAAAAAATGTTCGCCCGAACAGTTGCCATGAAAATACTTGCGGAACAGAGAGAGAGGAAATGCACGTCACGTCGGTGAGAAAGCAACTGGATTCGAGATGCCAGGTCAGGATTGATTACGTTACATACGATTTTTTGAATTTTGTCAAGAATCTCGTGATGTAGAGCAGGACAACCAGACTTGATATACCAATAGTATTCAATGCACGGAAGAATGGTAGATAATAAATGTGCAAGATGAATTCTGACGAGAAAAAATTTCTGGAACGACACAGTGAACCAACTTCTTTTGCAGCAGACGATTGCAAGAAAAGAATTTTAGATCTTCGTATTGGTTTTTTTTTTTTTTAAATGACAAATAACTTGATTGCAAACGCTCCGTCAGGATCTTTACCAAAATCTTTAACTCAAAATCTTTAACTATAATCATTTAAATCCTGCCCAAAAACCCTTGCCCTTTTTCAACAGTGTGATCGCACCCCTGGAAATGCGGTCAGGGATGGACCCCTGCCGGAACCAGTTGTTGAATACCACTGTCAAAATCGGAACAAGATGTGCAACAGCCTCAAGTAGATTTCGTAGGGGAGACCATCAAGTCCCGTGGACTTGCCACTGTCCACCCTCTTCAATGCCAAATAAACTTTGCCCTCTGTGGTCTCAACCTCGCAGCTAGCCGCTTCAGTCGGCGAAAGCCGAGGAAAATCAGCCAAAAAGCTGCGAAACTCGTCGCCAATGAGACCAGGCTCCTTGGTAAAATGTCTCTCGAAATGCCCCTGAAAAGTCTCGTACATGTCTTTGGTCGACCATAGAATACGCCCCTCGGGGGTAATGACCTCACTAATGTATCGATGGGAACATCGATGGATAACTTGCTTGCGCAACACTGCGCCCATGTTCAGAGCTTCGTTTGACATCTTGTTTAACTTATGTCTAACTGCCTGACTCTGATAGCGCTTGTTAGCCTCACGCTTCAAGGCCTGCCTAGCTACGGCTATCTCTAGGAAATTGTCCCGGCCACCGTCCGAGACAGACTATCCTCTAAAGTTTCCACCTTTTTAGCCTTATCTAGAGCGAGTCGTTGGCTATATTCAGTGGTGAAGGGCCTAATCCTATCCTTAATCCTCTCCCACCAGCTACCAATAACCGCCCCACTAATTCCCGATACACTAGTCTAATCAGCTGTTGCTGGAAGTCCCGCCTGTCCAGTAAGGACACGTTGAACTACCAGTCCAGCCATTCTAGGTCTACTACCTAACACCATTCGGGCACAGACGTGTCTATGATCCGAATAGTCTAAACGGTGGGACGTGGAGCAATCTAGCAAATCTAAGTCGACTCCTTCTCACTATCACTCTGTCTAGGTAGCTGGCTACCTGAAGAGATGGCCACTTAAGAGCCTACGTTCACATCTCCCGCCCCAGATGATCGACCCATTATCTATCGTCGAGCCGTTATCTATAGTCAATCAGATTAACCAAGCTACGATCGCCCGTTGCCTTCCCACTAGATCCCCGCCCCTGTCTATCTTGGGGTCCAGGACAGCATCCATTCCCCCATTAAGACTAAGCGCGACGAATCCATCCTGGTCGTTGGGCGCATAAACCGTAACGACCCGAAACAAACCACTGTTAAAACAATATCGGCCACGACTAACCGGTCCTCCGCGCCTACATGAACAAGGTCAACTCTTGCATCCAGAGAACGCTTGACTAACAAGGAAATATCTCTGGTCTGCTGGACCGAGACGGTATAGTCGTTAGACAGCACAGTAGCATCGACATCGCAAAGTGTGTCGTCTGGATCGAGGTCACATCCACACCAAAGGACAAGAGATCACGAAGGAGACGAGCAGACTTACTCCGATCTCTCAAGCCAATCCCATTGAAGCTATCTAGCTTAATAGACATCTTTTAAGTCTGAGTGCCTTAAACACAGACTGGACGAAAATCTGTCAAGACCTCGACAGATTGTCCCAGACTACCGGTACCTATATATCCCAGACATTAAGGTTTTCCCCGGTGCTTCTCATAAGTGTAATAACACCGGGAGTGCCAGGAATTCCTTGGATCCTCAGTTCACGGGAAGTCAACGGAGGTACATTGAAAAGAGGACTGAAGAAGGCCTTTCTCTGAGAGGAAAGGTCCCACTCGATGACCCCAAGGTCCACGATACAGATTTTGTCCCGTCTAGGGATATGCTGCTTCTTTTTTCCAGTCGGGGAGGAGGGGTGGCTCTTTGCCTTACCTGGTAGGAGATCTCTTTCACTTCTTGCTGGAGAAGTAGGAACGGATTGGGTCTTGGCATCTACCAGGTCCATCCGCCCCACTCCGACCCACTCTCCTTTTCTTTTTGATAGTTTTAAAGTCTTCGTCTTCCTCCTCCTCTTCGCCCCCTCCCTTTCTTCAATGTTGAGGATCGAGGCGTAGGCATTTCCTCCAACTCTATATAGAGGTGCAATTAAGAGAATTCCTTCTCGACCTGCTCTTGCTGCTGTTGGACTTTCTTTTCCTGGGATTGAGGTTCTCGCTAATGTTGCTGCACCGGCTGCCGTTGCTTCTGCTGTAGCTGCTGTTCTAGATGCTGCTGCCATTGTTGCTGCGTCTGCTGCTACTACTTCAGCTGTTTAGCAGCTCCTTCGTTCGGGACATACTGTTTCTGCTGCTATTTGGCAGCACTCTTGTCTGGTACATCCTGCTGGAGAGGCGGAGTTGTCACCTTCGCTCCTCTCCTCACGACCCCAGTCCATTCACTACTGAGGACGTTCTTTGTTGCTTCCACCCTGGGCTGCTCCGGTGTTGGTTGTGATGTTGGTTTTGTCTGTAGTGTTGATTTCTTGGTTGGACAGAACTTGGCCAGATGTCCGGCCGCACTACAAACCAAGCAGAAAGAGCGATGACCCTTAACAACCACAAAAATGTTTGGTTGGATCAATGTTAGCAGGACCTCAAAATCTCTGGTGGAACATACCCCATCTACTAAACCATAAATGGCAAAGAAGGTCCCGAAATAGTCCCGAAATAGTCCTCCGTGATATACTTTAGGACCCCATGTAAGGTAATCCGAGCTTTTCGGGTGTCCATGTATTTAGTTTGGAGCCTAATCGTCTTGATAGTGAGGGTGCTCCCTACCAGAGCTTTTGCGGCTTCTTCAGATACCAGCAGAATGTCCCACATGGCATCCGACCTTCTGACTAACACTTTGGCCCCGATATTCAAAGTATTTAGGGTTTCCTCCATAACCTCCCTGTTGACAGCCATGAATTTCCTGGTCTTGACGTCGACCGTCAACCTTGCCGCCACTGTCACCATAACCGAATTATTAGAGATAAATTCTTTATATTTATCTCTTAGCCAATTATAATATTCCGGACCTTTTTGGGACCTTTCTGGTACCCATGCTGATGGTGCTGTTGAAGTAGTGGCCAACGGCTCTTTTTCCTGGGGAACCTCAGCCATGGCGGGAGGCTATTCCCCTTTCAAAAACACAGAAAAACAATAAATAAGCACAAATATAAAGCACAAAAAACAATTAAAAATCACACTTACTATAAATCAACACAATGTCCAAACAAACATTTCTCAATAGGCAGACACAAAAAAGTAGATTGTTACTCAATACATACCCCTAACAATACGGAAGAATGATTACTTAGACGCCACGCTAATTCTCATATATACATTTTCTTTAGCATCACGTGATCTACTTATTCAAAATGGGATCGCCCGTGTTTGCTCTCTGGTGATCTGTGTTCAAACTCCAGTGTCGGCAACACTTTATTCCTATATAACACATTCATAACACATGATAAGAACATTATTAAATAAATTTAAATATGTATACAATTCACTACATTAGAACGTTTTCTTATAAACAAATACTTGAAAGGTGAAGAGGCTGTATGTGTTGCATGACTTGATGGTAAATAAATAAGTAGATGAATGCTGATTTGCTTCCATTAAGTATTTTAAACTAAATGCAAGGAAGAAACAAGTATGTATAATAAAAATATACTTATTATTTTGAAAAGGACTAAACTTGATTTAAGCTATTACTCAATATTTTCACACAATGTGTTAATTATTAAACCCAGTGAAATAATAAACATTCTTTTACCGACTTTAAATACAAATTAAAATGTCTAAGAATAAGATTGATAATATTGTCGATAATATTATCATTTTGTATCATGAACAGCATTTAAAAGAAAAAAAAACGGGTGGTCAAGTTACTACTTTAACTCGTTGCTAATTGAGTGAGCTGTCTTTCGTCGACTGAATTTTTATTATAGCAATCCAACTGAAGTTCATAAAACGAGTCTCACACGTTGGTAAATCCGACGCATATGTTGCGAAATCCAAATGAAATGACGGCTGGTGATTTCACCTGTGCTCGAGTCTGATAAGAAAAGAATTGGGAGGTATGTCGAATTCAGAATTTTTTATAACTGTAGAAAGGATCCCAGAGCCAGCTCGGTGCTACAAAATGCGTTTTTTTTCCCGTGCCGGTGTACTTGACTCGAATTTAAGTAATAAAAATTAAAAGAGATCGATACTAAGTCTAGTACATGCGTTAAATTCAGTTAGCTAGCGAAATTAAATTCCCGAAGATCATTTTTGGCAATTTCTTCATTTGATTATTTCTATTTTCAGTTTCGCTGTTATGAAGGAAATTGCACTGGTTTCGACTGTCACAAGAATATTAGCATTTACTCGACACTTAATGTAGTTACCTGTTCCCCAAATCAGTGTGCTGTAAGTATTTCATTATTGCACAGCCGGTCTATCGACCTTTTGTCTCTCTTTTGACTTCATGCTATTATTAAATAAGTTATATACAATAAAGAATACCACCAATATTCCAGCAACTAATAATTCGGTGTGTCTTTTTTTTCTTGATTATTTATTTATTTAAGAGAAAATTATTAAAAGGCATTTAAAATTAACATCCATTGACGGCCATATTAGTTCCACAGAAAGACACTGGTGTCATTTGTTTCACCATTTTATGATGGTATATGTATTTTGATTGCAATTTTTAAGATCATTTCTCCCGAAGTATAGTGATAATGCCACCAAGTAACAAAGAGAGTGAAAGAAAATGTGAAGACATTAGTGAGGAGAAATGGCAATAAAAGAACAGGTTTCAGGAAGACAGAAGATGGCAACTTGCATTCCATCTGAATGTTTGAAGATTGAAAGTCTGCAGGGAAGCAAAAAACAGAAGAGAGTTCCACAGGCCAGAAGTTCGAGAAAATACTTTTAGAATAGAAATTACGGTTTTATCTAGCTAGTTTAACAGTAAAACAGTGATACCTAGTTGCCAATCTAGTAGTAGACTTAAATTCATGCAGTCAAGGCACCAAGGAGGAAAGTTCAACAGAATAATTACCATGAAAATATTTGTAGAAAAGACAGAGGGGAGCTACATCACGGCGGTGGGAAAGTGACTGAAATCGAGATGCCAGGCCAGGACCTTTGACATTGCAGATACTTCTATGGATTTTGTCGAGAATCTCGAGAAATATAACAGGAGCACCAGATCAGATCTGGCAGCAATATTCAACGCAGCAATTGATTTAATATAATCACTCTACTTTCATGTGAGTGGAAACCGTGTGGCCAATAAGGTGCAAAGAGTTCTTCACCTGGAGGTTAGCATCAGCCCTGCTGACGAAAGGCTGAAAATATTCTCTGTAGTGATTAAATGAAAGCAGTTTTGTTTTGGAGGCGTTAAAATTTACAAGCCATTCCTTGCCTCTGTTGATCACTGAGTGGAGATCGTTTTCGAGAGCAGCTGCCACGTTTAATTTGTTGGACTTGCTACTAAAACCGGAGTACATAGTTGTGCCATCAGCATACATACCTAGTTGGAAACTGCTGACATTGGGAATGTCGTTGATGAAGATAAGAAATAACGTAGGCCGAATGATAGAGCCAAGGAAGACACCCGAATTAATATGAACTGATCAAGAAGCGTGTCCGTTCAACATGATCTTCATTACACAGTTTGTTAAGAACAATTGGATTAATCAAGATATTCGTCCAGAGAAGCATGTCAAACCCTGTCGAGATATCTAAAGCCACAGCCTGAGCCTCATCAGTCTAATATCAACATTTAATCTTATCGATGGATTCTCATAGAAATACGGTAATGAAAATCTGTATAAATACCAGATCAAGTCGACACAAAGTAGTAAGAGTGAGCAGTTGAAAAAAAATCACTAGAGAAACATGTAATGGATAAAACATTTACTATTGAATTGTTATTTATTTATGGAAGCAAAAGGGAAAATAGAATCGGCGAAAGGTCTACAAGTCCCATAGGAGAAGGGGGAAGGACAACTCAATACTGCCGACTGAGTGCCAGAACAATTCAGTCGGCGCTTCTGAGGCGTCCCTTCCAATACAAGACTGCTTGTAATACTTTCGTACTAAATCGCTATCTAATGTGCCCTTGATTACTATTATTTTTTATTCTTCACACTCGGAAACTCGTCATGTCTTAGTGGATTTACTACTGACTTTCTTGGGATGAAATGATTACAAATACTTTATATATATATATATATATATATATACAAAAATAAAACACATAGAATCAATCAATTTTAATGCGATTATTGGCGACATCCATCGCTGAAAACATAATATATGCATTAAAATACTGTGGATGATTGATTTTATGCATATGATTATTTCTTTGATAAATTATATGTTTTACTATATATTTATATATATATATATATATATATATATATATATATGGTGTATCAAAAATACATTTACAAAATTTGGTTGATTTTGGATTCCTCACACTAAACGGGAACAAAAGTCCATATCAACATATGTCCGCAAATACTTCGTTTTTGAGTTATTAATTTTAAAGTAAGTTTTTTTGCCATGCAGACTAGGTTACATTTGCCATTCATATACATTTGTGTCTAGCCTGTCTTCAACGTTTAACGTGTGCAGCAGTAAGTTGACTGAGAAGTGTTCCCTTTAGCATTGGCAGGATATTTATATAGTGAGCAGGCCGATATGATTTTTAAATACAGCTGCACGAAACGTAATGGCTGCACGGCTGTATCAGCTTGTGTTTCCAGACCGTACGCAGCCGAGTTATCCAACCTTTGCTACTGTAAATCGTCGCGTTGCAGAGACAGGATCCGTGGCACAACAAACTATAGTAATAAGTATTTTTGAATTGTATCTTCGATTGTACATTTAACAGCGTTTACCGTAAACTTAAACTTATTAACTCAAAAACGAAGGATTTGTGGACATTTTGTTCTTGTTTAGTGTGAGGAATCCGTTCCCCAAAAACTTTGTAAATTATTTTTGATGCACCATATATATATTTGCTCTACTCTGTATTGAACACTCTTTTAAGAATAGTATTTGTTTGTTATTGGAAATTATTCCGTATACACCAATCCTATACTTGATTATATATATATATATATATAAATTTATGAATACTTTAGAAATATTTTAAATCTTTTCAAAACTATATGTACACTTAGATCAGATTGATAAAAATATTTAAAATGAATGTTAAAAAATATTAAATTTCGATAAACTGAAAAATTAATTTTTTTAGTTTTTTTCTCAGATATTTGAAAGGTTTCCTTCAAAAAGAATGGGCTGACGTAAATTCGAACCCCAGTAGTTCATTTTCTGTATATTTGAAAAAGCTTTAAGTGTTTTACACTGAATTTTAGACAATAGAAACACTTAATTGTAAATGCCTAATAATAGGTATTTTAAACTTTAAATAACGTATTCAAAATGGAAAACGGTTATGACAGTTTTTTAAACAATAGATGCAATTAATTGTAAAACCTCAGTACACGTGTTTTAAGTATTAAATAACAGGTATTAAAAATGTTAAACCGGTATTACTGTTTTACGCCGAATTTTAAGCAGTAAAAATAGTTGATTGTAAATGCCTAATTAGACTAACATGTTATCTTGAATATTTTTCAGATCAAAGTCACCAAAAATGCCACTTGGTCGCTATCCGAATTTACCTGCAGCAGTGGGCAGTGTATTTGTCAGAAAAAAGTTCTTGATCAAGTCGAAATGTGCTGCTCAAAATCTAAATGTAATGACAAAAACTTGGAATGCTCACGTTCGTCAAGATTTGTGACCAGTCTCGTTGTTGTTGTCATTGCATTTATAAACTTACTTTTGTTCAATTAATTGATATTAGACTCAAACGATATCTGCTGAGAAAAAAGTTACTTTAATATGTTAATATCTACAAAAATGGAAATATCTTTGCAACCGAATACAGTGTGAATAAGTTTCTTTTTTTTTCTTTTAGAAGTCAAGGCAGGATTTATTTTTTGTCTAACCTACTGATATATGTGAAGCAGAAATTTTACATACTATAATACATACAAAAATACACTATATATATATATATATATATATATATATATATAAAGTGAACATTGAAGTCAACACTTAGAGGCGACAGTCTTTCATGCTGGCCTGACGATTGCGTCTAGCATGAAACAGACTGTCGCCTCTAAGTGTTGACTTCAATGTTCACTTTTTATATTTTACACACGCTCTATCTCTAATATTGAGCACTTTATCCCATAAATATAGCACATCTTAAGAATATATATCTTCATTATATATATATATATATATATATATATATATATATATATATATAGTTGTGTATTTGGCAGCAATTCCTATCCAATACATGTTCCTTTAAAATGACAGACAAAGTATTTCATTTAAGTACATCCTCTGTGTTTTTAATGTCTACTATCAAGAGACTTTTTATTGGAACTTAATGTATGTAGAATTTATTCAAATGAGTGTTCTTTCCGACAGCTTTCAGTTAACCTAATAACAGTTTTCAAGGATTTGGTTGTGTTATTGGAAATGAAATGTAAGTTGCTGAGAGGTAGAGATATTTTAATTCACGAATAATGCCAGTAGATGATGATCGTATTCATAATTTCTGTTAAGGGTTGTTTTTTTCTTTTGTTTTCATAATGAAGAGTTCTATTATTTTTAGACGTTTTTTTACAGTTGGACGTGAGTATTATATTTGTGTTTTCGACGAGTAACTTGCGTATTGAAATTGGTAAGTTTTAAGTTGTTTTAAATGTTTAAGTTGTTTTAAAGGGACCCTTGTGTAGCTATGACCCAAGAGATGAATGGTCAGCTTGTCTTGTCCGATGTGATTACTCATTAATTTGTTTTCATCAAGAACACATCTTCTACATGCATTAAGTCCCCAAAAGAAATGTCTTGATTGCACTCACGAGAAACACAATAAGTAAGTGACTAGAAATACCTTATCAGTCATTTTTAATGAAACACATACACACATTATATATATATATATATATATATATATATATATATATATATATATATATATATAGGTGTGTGTATTATTTGAAATTCTCACAGATATTACAAATATCATCTCAATTAAGCTCAAATATATCTGAATCTTTTTAAAAATTTGTATAAAATATAACAATCAGAAGCGATATATATCAAGGAAGAGTGTGTGTGCATGCGTACATAACCTAAAAGAAACAGAATAAATTGTGAAGGAATTATTTCTGCTACTTATTAAATTTCATTCAGCCGAAATTTCCCGCTTTCGCAAGGCGTCTCTACCATATCTATAGATATTTCCTGACTTACAGATACTTTTAATTTAATGCCTTATCTCTCTTACGTACGACATAATTTTGCGCATGCGCTGTTGACTCTCAGTGTTTTCTGGCGAATTTACCACATACTTAAAAAAAAACAAACAAAAAAAACAAAAAAAAAACAGTCGTCCCGTCTTGTTAAACAACTGCACTTGATAAATAAATCCATTTTAGAATACCAATTACAGACAGCTTTTCTCGAGGGTTGTTAACGAGAATTTTTATCGACATTTAAATTCTAAAAAATAATAGGATCGTACGCATGGTTCCAAGATTTTGTGTTCAAATGTTGTCTTTGAATCTTATATACAAATTATTTGCATTCACACCGGTTAATTTTAAAAGCAGAACTGTGATGTTGCCTGGATTTGTTATTGTTAGAGATCAGAGAATATTGACAATGTTATCTGAATGAGTTGTCTGGAAGAATAATAGCGTTTTCTAAAATCTTCCAGTAGCTAAGGACATTTTGTTTTGTTATTAATAGTTACTTTGTTCCAATAAATTAATTTCGTTTTTGCCTTGAAAAAGTCCACATTGGACGAAACGCGCCGGCTAATATTACAGTTTTCCTATTGTCTTTTACATTTATAAAGACACACACACACATAAATATATATATATATATATATATTATGTGCGTGTAAATTAACTATCAGTTAACAGAATTTAACGCATCAAATTCCTAGAACTCAACATATTTCAAGTCGAGTAGATTTTTTTTTCAAGAAATTGCCGAATAGAAAGCTAAAGCGACAATAGACAATAAATTAATAAAAGTTCATTCGACTTGAAATTTTTGGGAACACCGCTCATCATGGTCAGATAAATCTATTGAGTTATTACCAGATCGCCTGCATAATGAATGCAAATTAGTGAAGTAATAATTTACTAGCATAGAATCCTTTAAGAAAGCGCCAGCATATATACATATAAACGTTATATTTTAGCGTATTGAGTAGACATCATCTTTTAAAAAAAACAAAAAAAAACAGTATGATTTACATCTACCGGCATGTGAATTCGAAAGTTTTACAAAAAAAATGTGCTCTTTAGCAGGGTTCGAACCTGCACCCTCCTTTTTTAAAGAGAAACAAACGGCCTGATCTGGTGTGTTTTAGATGTGCATTCCTTAAAAGAGTAATTGCATCTTGCTGAGCTGTGAAGCTCTTTGTATTCGGGCGGTCTGAAATTATTCTTGGGATTAAATTCTTTAATTCTTGGGATTAAATTATCCGAAATCAAAGATCTGAGAAACTTAAATGAGTATATAAGATAAAAATTGGGAAATATGAATCTATCTCACTCCTTACCTCACTCTCAGTTTATCTCCCTTCTATTATCTCTCTCCCATCTTACCTTTCTCTCTTATATCCTTACCAGTCGCTATCTCCTTCATAACTCACTCTCCTATACACCTCTCTCTCTATATATATATATATATATATATATATATCCTCTCCTTACCTTTCTCCCTTCACTTTACCTCTCCTAAACGTTTACTCCATCTCTCGTGTCTATACCTCTTTTTCTGTCTCTCTTCTTACCCCCCCATTCACCTCTTGTTACCTTTCTTCTACTTCCTACTGTCTCTCCTTTCCTTACTCTCTCTCTCTCTCTGCCGTTATTCTCTTTTTGCCTATCTCTCATTCCTCACCTGGTTCCCCTATTTATATCTCTTTCTCCTTTCTCTCATCTCTTTACCCCTCTCTATTTCTCTCTCATTACATCTATCTCCTTACTTCTCTCTCTCCTTTTTTTACCTCTCTCTCATATTGGCATACTTTAAAATTCTTATCGTTCATCGTTCGCAATATAGACGGGACCTTTATTTCATATTCTGTGATTAAATACTAACGGGGCCTTACTTTGAAAATTTATTTTATTGTAACTTAATATGTAAATATTTCAAGAATTTATATTTTTCTATAGTCTCCTTTTCTCAGTGTTTATTATAATGAAATATGTTTTGATGTTTTCGTCTGTGCGAATCGTCCTGATGTTTTTGTTTTGTTTTTTAACGAACACGTTGGTGACTACAAAACAACCAAATGACTCAAAATAAAATCATATACACTTTAATTATTTTGAAACTATTGTTCTCATCTTCATTATTATAGATATTATAGACACAACGTTTCGGCCAAGTACCTTCTGATCATATCAGCCAAACAATGGATACCTGATAATGACCAGGGGGTATTGACTGAAACGTTGAGTATATAATAATATCTATAATAATTATAAGCACAATACTTTAAAATAGTTAAAGTTTATTGATAGTTACTCATCTGAAAAAAAAAACAATGAAATGTAAAACTGAAATTTAATGGAAGGAAAATTCAGAATTTACCATTACTTTTTATAATATTTTATCTAAAACTACGCTTATTGCTGATAAGTCAAAAGCAGTTTTATTAAATCAGTTGGTCTCAGTTTATTACATTTTAAAAGAACTTCATCGTTGTATTTCTTTTTTAATTGTTAAAAAGAATAATACATTGGAACTTTGGTTCACGAATTTAATTCGATCCTGAAGACCGTTCGTAACCTGAAATGTTTGTAATCCGGAATTATTTTCCCCATAGGAATCAATGTTAAATGGATTAATCCGTTCCTAGAACCCAGATGTTAGCTTATTTAAACTTTTACAACAGTGTTTTGTGCAAAAGTTCATACACAAAACCGATGAAAATCATTAAATTTAACGCATAAAAGATAAACATATTACTAAACAGCTAAAATATAGAGGAAAACATAATTTAATTTTACCGTACCTCTACGGAGGAGAGTTTGATGGCGGAAGTAGAAGGTGGTAAAGAAGAGTAAGGGGAGAGATTTTATTTTTTGGAAGGAGAGTCTTCTTCAATGAAAAAAGAATCTTGACTGTCATTCTGGGGGTTTCTTTCTTTTCTCTCTCTCTCTCTCTCTCTCTCTCTCTCTGTGGGTCTCTCTTTCTCTCTCTGTGGGTCTCTCTCTCTCTCACACTCTCTCTCAGCACCACTCTCTCCTACTTGAGACTCATTTGTCCCGTGAGAATTGTTTTGTCTACGCTTCCAACTTGTTTCGAAGGTGTGACACGTAACTGTCACTGAAAATGTTTATGCTGCAACTTTATCAGGGTGATATCGTTCCACAAAAATTTGGCATTTCACCCCATTTTGCACAAATTGCACCGGCTTGCGTCTTCGACGATCGGGACTCCGCTCGTGACCCGAGGTTCTACTGCATTCTGTTATGGGTTGACTAACGTTATTCCCATTCGAAGGGTATTACTGAAAGCTAAGCGGATCCAGATCTCCTCGATATTTTGAAGCCTTTCTCGAGGTATCGTCGTTTTTGGTTATAAGTCATACAGTTCTGGACACTACTTAAATTAACCAGTCCCCATGTAAAAAGAAGAAAAAAAGAAAGAAAAGAAAATAAAAACCAGGGAAGAAGTTCTTGCAGATTATTATTCAATAGAACTTCCGGCGCAATTTGTCAGAATCGAAAAATATTTTTTGTTATTATTTTAGAAGCAGAAGTTCCATTCATAATATAAATACAATCTCAAATCGATTCAACTATTTTTACTTTGTTGTTTTTTTTATTTTTTGGCAAATGCCAAGTTTGAAACTGTGCTCACGTCATTGATAACAATGTACTATTACGAACTGGAAAAAAGGGACACCATTAGTAGTAAGCAGTTATCAAACTTGATATTTGTAAATAAAAAGAAAGTACAGATAACTCTGAAAAGATTGATTCCTGACTTTTCAGACTAAGAAATAGCGAAGTAAAAATATTATGCCTCTCGCTACGCTATAGCTATTTCCATGTGTTCTGACATGTCCCATTAAGCTTGACCTTTACAACTAGAACCATCCATACCACGTCCACAAGAGTGAATCATCCCCATTCTCTCCGTATTCCATTAGTAAGGAGTAAGTTTCATTTGGACTACTTCTCCCTAAGAACCGATGCTTTGTGGAACAGAGACTCGGTAGAATGTTTTGCCAATCACAACTATTTTGAACTTCAAGTATCGGGTTAACCTTTATCTTCCCTGGCATGACCAAATGATCTTCACTTCTTTCCTTTTCTTATCCGACGCTACACAGTAAACTTTTACCTTGAGTGGCTCCCGGGATTTGTATTAGGTGAACATTAGTACAAAAAAAAAAAAAAAAAAAATGAACAGGATCCCTATTCTGAAATTGTTAACAAGACAAGTTCTATCAAACAACTTTTTTTTCTTATTAAATCTTTCAAATTTCAGAATAAGTTTGTGTTATCGGTAAATTTACAAAAATTCATAACCTTTATTTCGTTAATCTGAAAGACTTAATACAAAAATAAATAATAGACAGAACTTGTCCATATTATTAAAAAAAAAACATATACATACATTATATATATATATATATATAAGTGTGTGTGTGTATGTGTGTATGTGTCTGTGTGTATTTGTTCTTTTTTCAAATAATATGGACAAGTTTTGTCTCTATATATAATTGATAGACAGAACTTGTCCATATTATTTTACAAAACATATACACATGTATACATATATTAGTAGATACTGAGGTGAACACTGAGAGTTGACACACACACACATATGAGAGAGAGATGTGCTTGTGAGGCATAGTTATAAAGGGCATTAAAGTTATATTTCTAATTGCTATTATTACAAGTCTTGACACGTTTGATATCCACATTTTTACACGACGTTTTATTTGATAACTGTAAAAGTCCATAGACTTTTAGTCAAACGCAACCAATCACATTCTGAGCAATAATTCCTCCATTAATCGTGCAAACATGCTTCTTCAGTTATACCTCATTGTTTTAGCGGGATGCTCAATATATCTCTCAATATATATATATATAGGGGAAAGAAGTCGAAAAAGCTTTTGTGGGATGCGTTTCGTTCTTTAGGACTTCGTCGGGCTAGAGTTTTGTTTAAGTTGATGCGACTACACATTCAAAGGAATACACTTGGAATTTTAAACATTTAAATATATATATATATATATATATATATATATATATATATATATATATATATATATATGTTTGGTAGTGGGATTGTTTATAACTAAAGTTATTGAAACATAAACAAAAGAAAAAAAATAATCTAAATAAAATCGGATAGATCATCTACCCAAAACACATAAAAAAATTTAAAATTTAAAATGCCAGCATTGCTTATTGGTGCGCATGTGCAGTCGCATTAACGTAAACATAAATTTGAAGTCCTTAAGGACGAAACTTACCCCACGAAAAACCTTTTTTACACTTTATCATATTTCTTTTCTGATGTATCAAAAATGTATAAATCGTTATCCCATATATATATATATATATATATATATATATATATATATATATATATATATATGATTACATGAATCATTATAATTATAAATTAAACTGCACCTATAATCGAAATATATATATATATGTGTGTGTGTGTGTACGTTTAAACAGTTTTTAATTTTTGTAACAAAAAATACCTAATTCTGCTCTTAGTATCTATAATAATTTTCATTAATAATTCCTAATAATTATCCGTAATAATGATTCCAAAAATTATACCTAATAATAATAATAATAATAATAATTCTTAATAAATACTAATAATGATCCTTCATAATAATCTCGAATATTTGTTCCCAACATTCATTTTTTCAATATTAATTATTAATAATTATACTCAATAATTACTATATTGTCGACACGGTGAAAAAAAAAATCTTAGTATAAAGGAAGTTAACTTTAGCCAGAAAGAGGCTTACGCAAAAACGTATCTTTTTTTTTTTTAAATTTTGGATTTAATGTAACTATGACAACAAAAGATTTCGCTTTCATTTTTGCTTTGATAAATTCGGAAAACGAAACGCGTCGGCAAAAACCAAGATTTTTCCAATTATCAATCTTATACCAATTTGTCACAGAATTGTTCTGGGAATTTTACTATACTACTTAATAATTCCTAATAATAATTTCTTATAATTATTTCCAATAATAATAATACCTAGTATTGGGTATAAGTATTAGGAATGATTCCTAATAATAATTTCTCATACTTATTCCTAATAATTCTACCATTGCTGTTGAAACAAGAATAATTCAGCAAAATATTTTTTTAAAGACAGCAAAGATGATGATATGATAATTTCATGCGTCGCTCTCAAAAAGTCAAGTTACACGTTTTTTTTTAAGCGCATTTTAACATAAAAAAAAACTCATGTGCCTCCTGTAAACAAACGTTTACACCGCGTGTTTTCTCTTATCCTGAAAGCACACTTTTCTCTCTGGTTTTGTAAGGAGTCGTTTTTGTTTTTATCAGTTTTCTCTTTTCTATGCCAACATTTACTTGTTCCCCCACCAGAACGAGATGTGACACAAGTTCGTTTTAAAGTGGGGACCCGAGCGCGTACACTCGGGCAAGGGACAAAAATTGCCCACAGGCCCCGTAACCGTCAGTTGCGCTGGCCTCGATGCGAGCACCGATCCCTGCCTCTGGTGCAATGGGAGGGCGCGGCCTCGGGCAGCTGTTTCCCAGGGCTGGGCACCTCTTCAGTATAATTTTCTCAGTTGCCCCTCTGTCCTCTGACAGAGAAGCCACTGAGCTCACTCTGCCCAAAGACAGAGACGCAACTGAGAGATGATAAGTCATGCGAAATCCCTCCACGGAGGAATTTACGCACGGTATTAACTCCTTCTCCCCACTTGGAAGAAATGTGAGACACGGTCTTTTTTAGGTGGAGACCCGAGCGCGTACGCTCGGGACAAGATCAAAAATTGCCCACAGCCCCTGCAACCGTCAGTTGCGCTGGCCTCGGTGTGAGCACCGATCACTCCCTCTTGTGCAATAGGAAGGCGCGGCTTCGGGCAGCTGTTCCCCAGGGCTGGTCACCTCTCAGTATTATTTTCTCTGTTGTCCCTCTGTCCTTTGACAGAAAAAACCCTGAGCTCACTCTGCCCAAAGACAGAGACGCAACTGAGAGATGATAAGCCTGCGTTAAAATCCCTCCAAGGAGGAATTCGTACGCTAGACTCTTTTACACCCGAGATCAAGGCAAACCATTCAATTAAGTCCCCCTATTAACACACACACTCTTCTGGTGATGGTAGGTCATAGAAGTAAACTCTGGAAGCAGAAGTCTTTTTTAACATTATTGCTGGCATTGCTCTTTGATAATAAAGAAATGCTTTCTTACTTTTTGTAATGTTAAATTGTGTTCTGTGCCCACGATTCTCGTCTTGAGACTATTCTCTTCTCTCCGTTGCCGTATCATGTTCGACCCGGTATTAATCAGATAATTCGCACCTGAATGTATAAGGCAAGCTTTTGTCTTCATTGTATTTGTTTATTCAGACGATTTCTCTCATCATTTTATGTTTTTATCACAATATTTCAGTGTTTTTGTTTTACAATTGTATTACCTAACTCTTATTTCCTCGTCTTTTGTTTTTCATTTATGTTCACTCAATGCAAAGCTCAAGAACCACTCACAGTTACTGGATGATGTTTCGTTGAAACACCGATTCCCGTACAATCACCGAAGTTAAGTAATTTCAAGCCTGGTCAGCGCGTAGATGGGTGACCGCTTAGCAATATCAGGTTCTCCAAGCTTGCATGTGCGGGCGGTGTAATGGATAATGGCTCGGAATTGTTAATCGGAGAGCCGAGTTCCAATTCTCGTTGGGTTCGCTGTATTCATTTACACACTAATACCCTAGGGAAAGGTATGAATACACTTCCTCTCTTCCCTACGGATTAATTAGTAAGACTAAGACTTATCACTAAACCATTATTATCTCAAAAAAAATTCTTACATCCTAAAAATATTTTCTGGCTTTAAATAACCCACAAAAGGGTTGATAAGCCGTAAAAATCGATTCAGTCAAACAATAAATGAGGTGTCTGATATGAACGAAGATTATGAGGATATGTAGGATAGATAGCTATTGACCTTAGACTCGTAGTGGTTAAGGTTGTAATGTTCGGGGAAGCATCCCCGCTGGACTTGTGACAAAGGAGTTCTTTCTTAACAAGCAAATACCGGGAATGAGAGTGATTCAACACTGTGGACG